AGTCTCGCGTCAGGATACAGGCCCCAAATGTCTTAATCCACCGGTGATTCACACCGACTTGTGCGTTACTCTCGTGTGACACACGTGCGCGTCCCGTGTTCCCCAGCAGCACGGACGTGCACACGGTGGCCTCGCTGCTGAAGCTGTACCTGAGGGAGCTGCCGGAGCCCGTCGTGCCCTTTTCCCGATACCAGGACTCCCTTTTCTGCGGCAAGATGATTCAGGCTGACAGGAAGCAGGTATGCGGCCTGTAAACAGCCTCGGCCGCCATGTTTGGCCGTGAGAAAAACCTCAAATGGGTGAAATCTTCTGTGAAATGATAAAACGGGACACAACCCCCTCCACTGGTGGTTTTTTTTCTTCCTCAGGGTTTGGAGGAGCTAAGGAGGCTTTTACAGGAGCTGCCTGTGGTCAACTTCAACTTGCTGCAGTACATCTGCCAGTAAGCGTGCGGTCGGCCATTTTCTGCTCCTGGTTGTGATTGCTCCAGTACAAATATTTCTTTTAAAATGTTTACCCACCTGTATAAATTACACTTCAACAGCAAGAGCAACAAGAGATGTGGGCCAACGTGGCTGCATGTTTGTGTTCTTCAGGTTTTTATACGAAGTTCAGTCCTTTTCTGACTGCAACAAGATGAGCACCCAGAATTTGGCAACCGTGTTCGGGCCCAACATCCTACGACCCAAAGCTGAAGATCCTGAGAGCATCATGGAAGGTATGCCTAGGGAAGAGCGTGCAGGAATTTGCATGTGAGTCTCATATTCTGTTTCACTGTCTGTAACTAAAACATCACATGATCACTATCCCTCTGTTTATGTAACAGAGAAGAATGAATGAGGCGTTCGGTACAGATACAGCTTCAGCAATCAAACACAAACACTCACTAGAGACCCATTAGCGTGATCTAGCTTTAGGATGTAAGTCATACAAGTGATGTGTGTTCTGAGTCCCCCTCAACCTGATCTGACACCCATAGGGCGGACAGGTTTGGCTGAAATTCCCTCTCCCTGCCTACGGGGGGCGCTCACTCAGGCAACTCGTCCTCCGTATCAACTCTCACATTCACCCATCTGTCACTGAGCCATGTCAATGGCTTCCGTGGCCTGGTTTTGCGAGTGCGAAGTTTCTGCGTCTGTCGCCCCCCCCAGGGACGGCGGCGGTACAGCAGCTGACGGCGGAGCTGATCAGTGAGCATGCAGTCCTGTTTGTCAGAGACGGGGACGCCGAGAGCAGAGCCACTTCCGGATCCGGTGGCTTCCGTTCTCATGGACGCATTGGGGAGGGTGTAGCAGCACCAGCTGCACGGTTACACCGCTCTTACCTAGAACCTTCTGAAAAAGCACTCCCCGTTCACCAGCTGGGCTCTCGGCCGCCCCTGTCTCCTGTCACTAAAGAGCTCTCCCAAAGCCCATCGGGCTCGACCGTACCCGCAAGCCAGTACCCCCCCCCGGGCCCCAGTGACCCGGCACGTGATGACACACGTCCGACCTTCTCCGACTCCTCCAAAACGGGAGCCACTCCCCCCACAGCTGCGGCTCCCCCGGCCTCCTCAGAGGTTCCCACGCCTACGTCGGTGTCGGATGGCTGTGGTCCAAGAGCAGCTCCAGTGAGGATGCAAGACGGCGGACGTGGCGGCTTGCGGGACCGGCACAGGAGCGCCGGCGCGTACGACAGCACCCTGTCCGTCTACGACAACATCGACGCGGGTTTCGCGGCCCGTGCCAGCAGCGCGCCGCCCCTGGATGCCACAGAGAACGGGCCAACAAGCTCCAGCAGCAGTCCCTGGTCCTCCTGCGAGATCCTCCTCCAGGACGAGGGCACCGCCAAGGGACCGGGCCCCAGCCCCTCCCCCTCCCTGAGGGCCGAGCCCGAGGAGCCCCGGGTGAACTCAGCGGCCTCCTCGGCGCTGACGGAGACCATCCTAAGCAGCGGCAGCAGCGACGTCTTCCTGCCACCCCTGTCGCCCACACCCTCCAGCGCCATGCAGTTCCTGTTGGCCGGTCTCCAGCAGCAGATGGCCAGGCAAAAGGCAGAGTACGAGGCGCGCATCAAAAGGTAAGCCGGCCCTGCGCCTGCACACGGCCACTGCAGAAATCACCAGTGTTACTATGGCGACCCTCAATAGGACAAGCAGAAAATGGATGGACCGACTATAGCTTTCATTTTTGATTTTAATTCGGAATCCAGTTTGGTTTTCAGCGTGGTTTTATTCGCTTTTATTACTATTTATCGGTGGTGGGTCGGCGCCCCATCCTGGGTTGTTCCCAGCCTTTGCGCCCATAGCCTCCAGGACAGGTTCTGGACCCCCGCGACCCTGAATAGGACAAGCAGGTATAGAAAATTGACGGACGGATGGATGGAAGGATTGATGGATGATATATTTTAGTTTCAGTTTAAGTTGAACAGCTATTTTATACGGCTGATATATAGGATATATATGTCCAAGAACACACAGTTCATTTTATATACTAATGTCCTTAAAATGGGCAAAACATGTTCCAGGTGTTATAATAGATCATTATAACAATAAATCATTACTAGCTAAACGGTATTAAAAATGGTAAAGTATTTGATGTTTATTTTATTTGTTAGATTCGGAAGCAGTATTTATAATTTTCGTTTAGTTGTAGTTTTTCATTTTCATGTCACTTTTATTTCTGGTTACATTTTTTTTTCCTTATCTTGTCCTCATTAAGAATAATAACCCAGGAAATTACCCTGCTTTTTAAAACGGTAAACTATTTAAATTGTTTCATATCCTTGTGATATGTCTTCTACATCCTAAACACATTAATCGAAGAGCAAAATTCCAAAACTCACTCAGTCCGTTTGTTGTTGTGTGAGAGATGTGAGATGAGAGATGTGAGATGAGAGATGAGAGATGTGAGATGTGAGATGACACCGTCAGTGACCTAAAGTCAGGCTTCAAGTGTTGGGAACCAAAACTCAGTCCTCATGTAAACGAAGAACTGTCAATAAAGTTTTCAAAACTTAGTCAACAAAAATGTTCTCAAAAACATATCCCGTGGACTGAGTGAATTCTCGCTTGTTCTTCAGTTAGAAATCAGAAGAATTTTATTTTAGGCTCCATGTTTGCTTGGATTTCATCCCGCAAAGTAGCAAAAAAGCAGGAAAGAATTTTGGCAATTTTCAATGCCGGCGATTCTCAACCCAAATTTGGATCAGATTCGATCAGATTTCCCAGCCCCAAGAATTAACCTATATAAACCGGTCTTGGGTCTGCAAATGCTTAGTGCGAAACTAGTGAACAGTCAACCAATCCAAGAAGCCAAACTGCAGATGCTAAATTTTAAATTCAGTCACATCCAATCAGATTTGTGCGATAGGCATTGATTGGCATAAACTGCAGAGTGAACTGTGTGCTTGATCATAACCCTAATTTAACCCTGTACTTGATATAGGGTCACGACTGAGCAGCCATGGTAAAGATAGGGTCGCGCTGCAAAAAAGGTCGAGAACCCCTATGCCATGCCGTCACTCGATTAGCCTGTCAATCAATTTTTTAAAATGTAAAGGTTGTTAACCAACAACAAAAAAAAAAAGCTTACAGTGAGGTTTTTAGATATAATTTAAGTGATTTCTGTAATATGAATGACAAACCCCTGTAGAAACACATTTTACCATACAGTATGAATTTCATTTGCATAACATATCCATGTATTGCTTACATTGCCATAGTGATTTGATAAATCGCTGATCTGCCTTTTATACAGATTAGAACTGGGGACAGCACTTTACCAGAGTTTTAATATAATCAAGTAATCAAATCTCCCATCGTTGCTGCCCTCATCAAAAAAAAAAGAAAAAAAGTTTGGTCTTAAAAAAATACCCTGTGACCACAGAACTCGATTGCACACCGTGTCACATGGGTTTGTCATATTAGCAAATGGTACAATACTGTGCCACAGTACTATGCAAAGACCTTCACACAGGGCGTGCAATTGTCAAGACCCCCGTTCCGTCCACAGCCTGGAGCAGCGTAACCAGGCCCTGCAGGACGAGGTGGCAGGACTGCAGGGCAGCCTGGATCAGCAGCGGCAGCGCCTCAGTGTGGCCGAGATGAAGAAGCGCAACGCGGAGCGCGGCCGCGACGACGCCGACCGCCGCAACGCCGCGCTGCAGCACGAGATGGAGCAGTTCTTCGACACCTTCGGCGAACTCGACTTCGAGGCCAAGAAGACAGAGCGCATCCTGAAGAGCTTCTGACCTCCGGGGTGGGGGCGTCACGGACCAGCGCCGGGCTCCGCAGCTCGCAGCCAGAATTAAGCAGTCAATCAGGCCATTGCTATTAGAATGTCTGGATGTCTTCTCAGGATTTTGAATGACTTTTTTAAATAACCAGACAGGGTTTTATTGGCAGGGAGAGTAAGGATTCTCAATGCCCGACCACCAATGCCCTTCTGTGCTTTTTACGGCCGACCAGACAGATACATGCATTCTCGCTTCTTCGTCCCAACTCTCCAGGGGAATACGGCTAAATGATTAGTCCTAACTTGGTCACCAGGAATTGGTTAAGATGACTGCAGAGTCTGAATCATTCCAGTTTCTAACTATCCATCATTAAATCTCTACAAGTGCAGGGCTAAACCTACAAGTGCTATTATCCAGCATTGCAGTGCAGAGTAGATACAAATATCATTTTCACATTTAATTCATCCATTCACTTTACAAGCTCTTACCGGGTTGAGGGGCCTGGAGCCTATAACAGGCTGGGCAGGAGGCTAGGGTGGGTTTCTAGTCCATCACAGGGCATTTACAACCACACAATAACTAGAGGCAATTTAGAGACAACAGTAAGTTTGATGAAGTGCAACTCCAAGTCAGGAAGAACAAACGTCACACACATCGGGTGGAGATGGGGTCCAAACCCCCAACACTAGAGATGTGAGGTGACAGCGCCACCTGCTGAGCCATCACGTTACTCCACAGTGGAACTGATAGATATAAATATCAATAAAACAATATTCACGTTCCAGTTCTCACTTTTAAAAAATTTTTATTTAGCAGTTTTGTTTAACCCAACATTCCTATGCACATTTTTATTTTTTTTTTCTGCTTCACTGTAGTTGATTATCACTTTTGTTCACGTATATCGATATGAGAGGGCAACAAACACAATGAGAAATAGTGTTCCAGTCCCGGAACTCTGTCGGGTTGACAGTGTTGGGCGACACCCCAGAAACAAGCAAAAAATAATATTAATTAAAAATAGCCTGTAAGAAAAAGGAGTGCAAGAACTGCTCAAGAAGAGAATAGTTCCTCAGGATTTTATCTCAAATTAATAAAATAAAAATGGTTCTTCGCTCTGATTACTGGTACACAGAGGAGCCGTGCAGAGCTCCCCTCCAAAACATTTCTAGAAATTTTGCTGCCTATCATGTCCTGAAAAAATATTAACATGGGGGGGGGGGGGTTAGTCCTCTGAGGAACGACTGCGGATATAAAGTTCAAAAGGGTACGATCCATTTCCTTTGGAATGTTTTTGAGTGAGAGTGTTTGGAAGAGACCTTAAGCACCAGCTGCTGAAGGCAGGAAAGTTGTGAGAATAACATGAACCAGTGAAATGAGGAGTATGTTTGTGTTAAATGCCTTATTGAAGATTAAAATGATTGGTTAACAGTATGCAGATCTGGACTGTTACAGCATGCAGAGGAACCGGGGAACCCATCAGCAACCCATCAACCCCCCCCACATTACAGCAGACGATGGAATATTTCAAATGGATGCAAATTCCTTTAAATACAGCTCTACCCACACATGTTGAGTTGCAGGCATTGAGACATGGTGTCAGTTAAGGCAAGATTGAAAAATGCGAAGTTCTCGGACCATCTAGAACCTGTACTTTAGGTTACGGTCTTCCTGTGATCGCAGGTCATAATCTGGTCTTCCGTCTCCAACAGGTAACGTGACAATAGAAATATACTCTAGAGCAGCGTTTCCCAATATTCCTGGTAGGGAGCAAAAATGTGGACAGCCTGGCAGGGACCGGGGGGGGAAGCAAAAATGTGGGTCCCTATGGACAGGATTGGGAAACACAGCTCTAGTCAGAAACAGTCAGACACAATACAAATAATGACAAACACAGGAACAACACACTAAAGATAAAACTTTCTATTTACAGATCATGTTGGGAAAAAAAAAAATCAAAAAGAGCACAGTGGGTAACTATAAAACGAACCACTTGGAGGCACTGTGAATCTCAGACAGTCAGATCAAGTCTCCTGGAGTCTCGGCCAGCAGACATTTACAGTTACGAAGCCGACATCCAGGTCACCAGAACTCCCAACACACCCAGCGGAACTGAGCCGCGCTCCCATCACATGCCAAGGATGAGTAACGGAAGTGAACCATCTCATCCAGGAGGCTGATAGACCCAACACCCTCCCGGAAAGACTTCAACAAGCATTAAGTCTCACCCCCAGTCATCACATCGGCCTGCAGTTTGTAAAGTGTACTTAGAGTAGAAGAGGTGTTAAGGTGATGCTGATACAAGGAAGCTCTTTGAGCAGTGCTGCTCGTTCAGTTTCCCATTGATATTGGCCAACAGATTTCTGCTAACTTTCATCGACAACGAGCAACTTTCCACGATCACACAGATCCAGATAAGTTGCCCTTTCTCTGTACGACAGTTGCCCAGGATCATTGCTCGGGAAGCCATCCTGTTTATCATCACCTTTAGTGTGAAATGGATTAAACACCCAACAGCTCTTCGTAGTTACTTACAGTAAAAACAAGAAAGTGCTACTCGAAAAGCATTCATCCATCTAAAAAAAAAAATCAACATAAAAAAACTACCCCGTACCGTGAAACAAAGATTATCAAATGAGTATCCCACTGTTTGCATATGCATGACCTTTGGGATCCATTAAATGCTTTCTGCACGGTACTTCCGCACTGCAGGTACCCAGAGGACCAGCATCGGACACCGATAAGAAGCAACTTTTAAACGACCTGCCTCGCTTAATTCTTCATTGTTGGAAATAACGAAAACAACCGCAACAATAATTATCACGATTGTCCACAATTATCGTTATCATCATATTAGTTAATAGCAGTAGTCTAACAGCAGTGTAGCATTTCATATTGGTCTGTATTAGTTATTATTAATACAACAAAAATAGTAAGCTGGGCCCTTACCAAACTTCATACATTTATTAGCTGTTGTATGCTGGGCTACTAATACATCGTTTTATTGACAGCGCAAGATATAAATACCACTCACGGTGCTCTTTAGCACAAATATCAAAGGCTAAAGTCACGTTAAGATGATGCGCATATAAATGAATACACATCTCAAGCCAAAGTCCCATTTCAAACCACTGATTCAGGGCAGCGCGACGTCACGTTGCGGTTATACGATTATAATCACCTGGGCTTCAGATGATGGTGGTGAACATTTGTCCGCATGCCGGTGTTTTGTCGATATATGCTGCCTTGTCGAAAAATGCTACGGTAGTGCTAATCGATAGCCCTAACCCTAACTCTTACCTTAACCCTAACCCCCCAAAACCCTTACCTTAACCCTAACCCCTGAAACCTAACCCTAATCCCAAACCGGTGGAACTGCACATGCGCAGATAGGCTCGATAGCACGTCTCCATAGGTAGTATTTTATGACAGAACACCGGCTTTTCGGTACTATACGGACGCTTTGTCCAATTGCTGGAATATGCAGACGTTTACTTACGCCCACAATATGTTTAGCAGATTATCAGTGCGCCTAAAATATTAGCGATCTGTGTAAATTCAGCGTATCCTTATGTTTAATAAACGTCGGACATTAAACTGCTAAAAGTACCGCCACAACGCTGATGTCTTTTTGCCTTGTTTATCCTCAATATCTCATCTTTTCAATTTTTTATTTTGTGCCTGCTGATCTGTCCCTTTCTTCACCACTTCAGTGCTTATCGCTTCCATGATTTACTAAAACAGTAGCGTGTGGCGCTCCGCTAATTAAATTTAATAAACATAAGGTGTACTACTAATCTGCTTACCAAATTGTGGGCGTAAGTAAACGTCTGCATATTCCAGCAATCGGACAAATGTTTAGGCCTGTAAACCTGAAGCCCATCTGATTAATGCACATACGCCAAATAATCATATTACGTCATGATTACGTCACTACGCGATATCACGCAGCCCTACGCTGATACCGGCGCAACTCCCAACGTTTTCAGTTTACGCCGTCTTTCATCCTTTATGACACACAGGATTGAGTTCTGTAGGCGAACTGGAATCCATTTACATTTGTTTATCTAGCAGTCGCTCTTACCCAAAACCACATGCAAGCAGGGTCAGCCCGTTCCTGGAGTGACTGGGCCTTCCGGAAGGGTCTAAAACGACCGCCGTCTCTCGCTACGAATAACGTGCGAGAACGTCAAACGATATTTTGCTGATCAAATAGATTTGCATGACGAGACCATGTGACTTAACGGTCCACTGCTTACCGGGCTTTGAGTGCTAGGTCCCTCCCCATGCTGATCGGGGTGAGGGAAGCGGTACAATCAGGGTGACCACAGACATTAGCACTCAAGTAGCATTAATCACAGAGGTAACAATAGCCGCTGAAAAATAGCTTCATGCATGCTACACACATATCAGTCCCATTTATATCTTTCCTTTAAACATTCTTTTATAATCCACTTGGATTGACTCGGATGAAACAGGCAACGGTGAAACCGTCCAAGTGAAAGGGGTGGCTGGGTATTTGGCCCAGTATAAATGATGACTAAAACAAATGGACAGTGTTTCCTGCTGTCTGACCAAGCCTCAGAAGATTCATAAGCTAAAAAGCAGATTCTGCCCACTGATTATCAGGACTGGATCTGCTTCACGTACCTCCATTACATTAAAAAAAAAAAAGTAAAATTAAGGATTTGGTTAAAAAGTAAGAAAATATGCATTTAAAATAGAAATATGCAAATGTGATTCCCCTCATACTAAAATCAATTCACTCTACAACAGTCAGGGGACTGCAAGGCTGTTCCAGCACCAGTCGTCGGATCAGACAAACCCGACAAAACAGAGACGTGGTACGATGCATGAATAGAGTCTGACTCAATGACATCATCTGAAATATAAAACATAGGACCAAAAAAAAAAAAAAAGGTGTCTCTTGTTCAGGTGGGACCTTAAAGTGTGCTACACACAGTGAGCTTGTGTACAGAAAGTGCGACAGACAGATGAGGAGAAGCGCGACGAAGGGAAGGCGTTCACTGGCACTCCTCCGTCAGCACGTCGATGCCGCTGCTCTCCGTGTCCGACGCCACCGTCTGCTCCGTGGACATGGAAGAGATGTCGTTGGTGGATGACGACTGGGATGCCGTGGCGCTGCTGTTCACCGCTGAGTCTGCAGGGGGCGACAGAGGCTTCACTCAGAGGCAGAACATTGCATTTGTGGGGTGGAGGGCGGCTTGTCACAGGCTTACACCCCGAGATTTGCGGGTTTGATCTCCACAAGGACGACTGCAGCCACACCCGTGCAAAACATGTAGTTAAAAATGTCAGCTAATCCATAATAACATAAAAACAGGTTATTTATTCAAAACCGGTTATTTATTTTATTGCAGTACTGTTTGTCCAGCTCTATCTTGTCCTGCATTGCACTCCTGTTTGTCCTCGTCCCCCATGCTCTACCCTGCAACTCTGCAATAAGCATTTCACTGCATTCCTCAGACTATAAAACCTGAAACTTGCAAAATTATAGGAGAACTCACCCAACTCCTCCTTCGCTACTCCATTCTTGCTCCTCTCCTGCCAATCCATCACTTCTTTATAGATCAGCTCTGGAAGAGAACAGCCCAAAGCAATATGGCCGGCTTGTTAGTGCATAGGTCCAGAGATCTGACACGCCACTGACTAGACCCACGCAAAAGGTTACCATCCACGATAAAACCGAATTATACCTTTCCACTGTTCGATGCTGTGCTCTCTCTCTTCCAGCTGCTTGTCTGAGATCTGAGGAGGGGGCTAAAAATAGAAGAATAAAGAAAACATGCCTTATTTGCTTTTTATATCCAAAAGACAAATGTTTGGTAAGGCTACTGAACACCCCTACTAGTGAGACGGTCTACCTACCGCATCAGCCTCAGCCGGGTCATACCACATGTGAATGTAGGGGTGGTTCAGGGCTTCCTGCACAGAGATTCGTCTCTCAGGATCAATCACCAGCATCTTGGACAGCAGGTCCCGGGCCTGACTAGCTGTGGTGATGGAGACATAAACAAACAAACTATTCTTGAGCCATTTCGCTTTTCTCTGACAGGGAAGCGAGATCTCCTAAAGAAAAATCAATACTGAGGAACCGAACAAGACAGAAAGGGCGCGATCTTACTCTTCAGCCGGTCGTCCTCCGACTCCGAGGGGAAAGCCCAGTCGGGGAAGAGCTCCGTGAAGCTGATACCGGGGTACTGAGGCTTGTTCATCACGTAGTTCCTCACAGTCTCCATCAGACGGTTCATAAACTCCAGCGAGGGCGTGCCCAAAACCTCGATGACTTTATTCCACTGATCGATGTCTGGGGTGAAGCACATTAAGGAGAGCAGCACAGACACGGCGCGGGCAAAGCGACAGTGTCACGGACATAAAACACTGAAAACAAAAACTCATGATCTGAATCTGGACCGTGATGCAGCTACATGACCTCACACTTCGTGAGTCATGCTCACACGGCAGAGGCAAACGCGCATATGGCCTGATGATGTAATGCACGTTAAAACATTACACGCTGCACTCCTAGAACCAAAACGAAAACCACACATCAGAGTCGATGGATTTTAAGTCCAAAAGTGAATCTCACCTCCTCTTTCTAGGTCTTCCCGGATGGGGCAGCTTCTCAACACACTTTTAATGCAGCTGTGACTCCAAGATATCGGACCAGAGGACATTTCAAGTTGAGTATCAAGAGTCACAGTCACAGAGTATTCAACTGGCTGGTTAAAACAAAATCTTAGTCTGGATTTTTGCTTTCTGGACCTGAAATGTCCACTTCTGATTCAGAGACATGTTTTATGTCTGTGCTGCAGAACACATTTAACCTTAGAAGCAAAACAGTTAAAGGAGATGTACAGGAAGTCACACGGCAGTCTTTCACTGCCCCGGGATACGCACAGAAGATGCGCTCCGTCTGGTGGAAGGATACGATCTGTTCCCTGGAAAATAACGTTGCCCTTCACCATCTCGCCCATGATGCATCCCACAGACCAGATGTCCACTGCGAAGGAGGCAGGGGAGATATGGAACACGGCCTTCAGATAAAGGGCCACACAGGCAGCCGACAGACAGACGGACGGACAGACGGACTCGCCGACACTCGCCCGGCAGGAGGAACGTCGGTTTGAAAACACACACAAATAATTTTATTTACAGCCTTAGAGAAAGAAAATGTTTAAAGCTACTTATCTGGGTAGTAAGTATATTTGCTCAGAAAAAAATATATAATTTAACATTAGAACAAATGCAAAATTAAGAATAACACAATAAAAACTAACAGGAACTTCTTCTGTCCTCCGAAAAGGTTACTGATATCTTTTTGGGCGACTAGAAAAACGTCGCTTCAGTTCCCAAACCAACAAGCTTCTGGTCATAAGCACAGAATCCTACCCCGCTGAGCCACACACTAATGTAAAGAGATCTCACCCCTTCAGGAACCTCACCAAAGCTGCGGCCTGGATTATACCCTATTTTTCATTTCATTATATTTCCCTTTTAAATCCATCACCACGTATTGCTCAGCCACGCAAACTTTTTATTCTTCAAAACAATTTATGACTCGTTCATAATTCTCTTTGGGAAAAAAGCCCATATTTCAAATAGTACTAACATCTTTAAAACACTTCTCAGGTGATTAATGCCATCGGTTCGTCCACAATGCAACACGATCAAACAAACGACAATTGGGTCCGAACTCACATAGCTTATGTTTGTTTTAGTTGATGATATATATAGTAGCAGCGACCAAACGTTTGTTTATTTAGCAGATGCTGTTATTCAAAGTGACAAAGTCCCTGGAGCAATTAGGGTTAAGAGCCTTGCTAATGTGCCCGGTGGTGGGATCGGTCTGCTGACCGTGGGATTTGAACCAATGACCTGCCGATTTACAGTGATCTTGGAACTGCCCTCATATTTCCACTATGCCTTTGATCGTGGAATGAGGTCAATCCCAGAAGGCACCCGAGCAAATGACAGCCCCCCAGCATAAATCTCAGCCGCCTGTGTTTACATGCCGCACCTCCCTCCGGCGCAGACACAGAGCACCACCTCTCCACCCGGCTCTGTTCACTGGCAGGAGCCAAAGCCAATGCGGATCATGCAGGTCTTAGCTGAAAGAATCATGCAGGTCTTAGCTGAACGAAACACCATTTCTAGTAAATGCAGAAGCGATTAAGGCAGCTGATGGACGTGAGGCGGGGAAGCCTGCTCTTATGGGGGCTTTTGGTTCTATTACAGCCAATACAAAAATCAGCTTTTAGTCTAAATGCTTTTTGGTTACTTCACCTTTTAGAAACCAAAGGCTATTTGATAAAATTGGAAAAGAAAATGCTACTTTTGTACCCGGAGTGCTTTGTAAATGTGTATTAATAAAAAGCCTCTATCCTGACAGTTATAATTCATTTTTGAAGAAAATTGTGTTGTAAAATTTATAAGCCATTAACGTGCGTCACCCCTGAGACACAAGGGGGCAGCATCCCAAGGACATTTGAAAGGGGGAGGGCCCAGCACACGGCAGGACATTTATAAAGGACATTTATAAAGCCATGGGGTTTCACATGGGCATTTAAAGGGGCATTTACCCTGCTAATAAAGACCCACCTATAAGGGTGTGTGTGTGTGTNGAATCATGCAGGTCTTAGCTGAACGAAACACCATTTCTAGTAAATGCAGAAGCGAATCAGGCGTCTGATGGACGTGAGGCGGGGAAGCCTGCTCTTATGGGGGCTTTTGGTTCTATTACAGCCAATACAAAAATCAGCTTTTAGTCTAAATGCTTTTTGGTTACTTCACCTTTTAGAAACCAAAGGCTATTTGATAAAATTGGAAAAGAAAATGCTACTTTTGTACCCGGAGTGCTTTGTAAATGTGTATTAATAAAAAGCCTCTATCCTGACAGTTATAATTCATTTTTGAAGAAAATTGTGTTGTAAAATTTATAAGCCATTAACGTGCGTCACCCCTGAGACACAAGGGGGCAGCATCCCAAGGACATTTGAAAGGGGGAGGGCCCAGCACACGGCAGGACATTTATAAAGGACATTTATAAAGCCATGGGGTTTCACATGGGCATTTAAAGGGGCATTTACCCTGCTAATAAAGACCCACCTATAAGGGTGTGTGTGTGTGTCTGTGTGTGTGTGTCTGTGTGTGTGTGTCTGTGTGTGTGTCTGTGTGTGTGTGTCTGTGTGTGTGTGTCTGTGTGTGTGTGTGTCTGTGGGGTGATCAGCAGCGGTGTTTGCCATCATTCAAACCACACATATGCATAGAACCTCAGAGGTTTGCCCCCCGTTGGCCACAAACAGTTACTACACTGGTGGGACCCCAGAGTTTTGGGGCCCCCTGTTGGCCACAAACAGTTACTACACTGGTGGGACCCCAGAGTTTTGGGGCCCCCTGTTGGCCACAAACAGTTACTACACTGGTGTGGAAAACTGCGCCACTCAAACATGTCAAAATACAACGGGCAACTACTGCTGGCATCACAGGGTACCTCGCTGTGGGTGAACCTTACCGTTCTCCTTGTACCTCATGCCAAGGATGACCTCGGGGGCTCTGTAGTACCTCGTCACCACATAGGGGGTCATCATGAAGTTGGTGCAAGCTGTTCTGGCCAGACCGAAGTCCAGGATCTTCAAAGTGCAATCAGACTTTACCACGATGTTGCTGGGCTTGAGGTCCTGATGGGAGCAGGGGAACGATAGTAAAGGCACGGGTGGAGGGGGGGGTGGGGGGGGTGATGCTAGAATGTACTGAAGTGCAGAAGCCAGCAGGGCCAACCTTAACATTAGCCAATGATATGTTTTGAATCATTGAGTGACAGGGGAGGGGGCACTCCAGGGCCAATCAGCATTCAGTTGGGGTGAGTGTGCCTAGAGCTCCGCCCCTGTGTGTGGCCCTGGTCATGGCGGAAGGTGCCTAGGAACCCACTCCACAGTGTAGGAAATGTCCTAATGTTACTCTCACCGTGTCAGAGGGACGTCTGACTCACCCTGTGGATGATGCCAGCGGAGTGGAGGTGTCGGATCCCACAGAGGATCTGGTACAGGAGGTAGGACATCCTCTCGTGGTCCAGGTCCATGTGGATCACCTGACACAAACTGGCATCCATAAGCTCCATGACGAGGTACCTGGGGAGGCGGGAAAACTCCCCTAGACGTCACCCTCTTTTTGGGGAGTGCAGAGTTCAAAGTGTGAACGCTGGTCTGTAAAGTTCCGCAGCCATGACTGACATCCCATGATGATAAACTGCCTCATATCATATATGACATACTAATTAAAGAACTGATTGGCTGAAGAGTCCTCACACCAGGTCTTGAATAGCTGACCCAAAATTTATCCCAAAAAACCTGCATACAAACTGTCCTTTTGCAGATAAGATTGGCAACCTTGGATTCAGCCAACGCTTCTGTCCAAAATACAATACATTTGGAGCCAGAAAACAGGCTCCAAATGTCCCTGGAGCAACTGTGGTTAAGGGTGCTGCTCAAGGGCCCAATGGTGACATTATTTTTCAAACGGCAAAGGGATTTGAACCCATAACCTTCCGGGCTTGGCTACAGATTCCTAACCCCTGGCGCTACACAATTCCCCAGGCTGATACAGAGGTAGACAATTAAAAGTCAGACAGAAACATATCACTACCTTGACAGAGACACAACAGTGAGACTGTGACTTAAATGGCACTTAAAAGTGAATTAGGAGCTCAACACCTGCAGGGCAATACAAGTCCAAATGGAGTCTCGGATTCTTATAAGAACCAGCAGTGAATGCTGTTCAGGGGGAGTAGCTGCGCTGTCAGAGAGAGGCCGACAGGCAGACCACACCCGCCCGGAGGATAGCTGGCCCAGTCAGCCATTTTCAAAGGCATCCAAGCGTTCGGAACAGCTAATCTGTCACAGCAGATTAAAAGGTTTGAGCTGCTGTATGGTGAAGCCGTAAGCGAGGCTCTGGTTTCTCGCCCCGAGTCAGTGCCGTGCCAGACAGGCCTGGGCGTGTCGCGCACAGCGAGCATCAAAAGGCAAGTGCACGGATTTTCAGAGCAAACCAGCTACAGACGGCGACTCGCGGGACGGGAGGCCAAAAGGCTACACACCGCAGCTGTTCACCTTATTTATTTAGCAGCTCCTTTTATCCGAAGTGATGTGGATTTTTCCAAAAGCAGGGTCACACAGTCCCTGCAGTAATTAAGGGCCTTGCTGAAGGGCACAGCGATGGGATTCAAACCAACAACCTTTTCGATCACTGGCACAAATGTCCTAACCCTGCGAGTCACATACTGCCCCCTACTGACAGTACACTGACAATTTACAACTACTCCGCTACATTAGATGCAATAAAGTATAACCATCTGGTCTTTTTCACCATCAAGGGCCATGTGTGTGTGGGGGGGGGCTTCAAGGAGCCATGTGACACAAGAGGGACCTTGATGGCAGAAAGCAGACGAGGGATTGCTTACAGGTCCTGGAAGTCCTCCAGTGACTTCTGCGGGGTGAAGACATTGAGCAGCCTAATGATCTGCGGGGAGACGAGGCAAAGGAAACACGGTGTTTGTTACTGTGGCCCAGGACCCTGGGGGGACCCCTAGGGGGGCCCCAGGGGGGTGCTTGACGGCAGCGGCGGTGGGTACCAACGTTTTTGTGGTTGACACATTTGAGCAGCACGAGTTCCCTGTAGGCCCGCTTGGCGTGGGTCTGGTTCTGAAAGGGCCGGCTCAGCTTCTTCACCGCCACGGGGATGCCCAGCACCGAGTCCAGCGCTGAGCTGTGAAGGCCAGTAGGGGGCGACAGAGGATATAACCTTTCAGCATACATCCTGGGCTGGCTCTGCCCTTTCAGGACCCTAAGCAAAGCTTTACCTGGAAGCATCCCACCCCACCCCCACCCCCACCCCAAGACAACTGATGATCATTTCACTTCGTAATTCGGGGCCGTGGGCCACTGCCTATCTGCCGACAGCTGGCCATGTTGTGGTCTGCACCTAAACCTTTTCATTTGACGTATACGTTTTTCCATCCATCCATCCATCGCTGTTTTCTATACTCAGCCTCTGCACTCTCTTTGCAGAGGACATCCCCAAAGCTCACCAGACCGGACTCACCAGACGATGCCCTGCGCCCCGGATCCGATGGGCCTGAGCTGCTGGTACCGTTTCAGCACCGTGAAGGTTGAGTCCCCCACTTGGACGCTGTAAAAGTTCTCCTCCTCCTCACTCATCGCTCCTGGACGCCGCGGCCCACCTCAGGCAAGTCTGAACCTGCGGCCAAAACAAACACACAGCTCGTTAAGTTCTCCGGGCGCCTTCCGGGGCTTGGATCAGGACCAGTGACGCAAGGCTCTAATAAATCAGGCCACCTGCACCTCACGTTCTGCTGTTCTGCCGGGTCCGTCAGCCCAGGGTGCGGCAACAGAACCAGGATCGGGAACCACATCCTGCCCACATAGTAACGAGAGCAACGCAACCCATTCTTCATCCAGTGTACCGCAGTGTGACAACTTTATTATGAGGCTGCATGGTCAAACGCAGGCAGCTCTCAGTGAGGAAGCTTGAACTGGTATCTTTCAGCGAACAACTAGCAAACAAAGTACAGCTACTTAGTCAAGCAACTAGTGCTATATTCATGGCGAGAGCAGATAGATATTAAACTGAACAACCAAAGGGGCAAAAATGTCATAAATAAGAATATTATAAGACAAATGAAACAATCTAAATATGATTCTTAAGACTAGCTTTCTATGAAAAAAAATCTATCAAAGCCTCTGGCTTCTCATTACCAAAAACCTCTTTAAAAGGCCAGTAAACAGTAACCACGCCTAGGGGAGTTCAAGGCAGGACAGGGGGATCCACAGAAGCATAAATCAGCACCCGCACAGCGGCAAGGCATCCTGGCAGGAAGAAATAATACCCTCCCCCCATCGGAAACAAAGCACTTAAAAAGCAAGAATAATTTCTTTCAATAACTGCCATTATCCACGGATTTTACACAGTGCCTTGGGACATAAAGTGGGCAAATGTTTGCACGGTAATAGCCGTTATTGTAAACTGAACGTCACTCATCATCCTAAGTGTCCGAATTCCCCCACCACGACGCCCACGTGTGCTTTGATCATCTTCCGCTGATGCCACTCGATTAAAACTCAGATGTAAATATCACGTTAGCTGCGGGTGAAAGTGAAAATGCTCTCAGTTAATAATTCAGAAACTACTGCCAGGTGCATGATGAAAAATTAAGGAGGTAATACGCATTTAAGTGAGTCACACTAAGTGGCCCTTCAATTAAAAAAAAAATAAAACACAGGATATCAAAGTTGTCACTCAAGCATCCTGTCAGTTCCTTCATCCCAAACAGCTCCTTAGGGTACCTACGCAACAAGCATAGCCGTCATTTCCAAGCTTATCCATAGCTGACATGCCAGCATCTGCTCGCTCGATTGGCTTAAAACCAACAATCCTTATCTTCATTGGATAAAAATATCTGTACCTTATTGGCACAGGGAAGCATTCTGCTCTAACATGTGTTAATCTGCCCTCCGGTCACCTGAAGACAAATACTCAGTAAATGTTTGGAAACTTTTTCTCTAATTTCCATCTTACTGTAGCAATCATCACAGCTGTGGCTCGACTCCCCAGGCTGAAGATTATAAAGCTGGAGTCTTTCTACAAAGAATTCATTATTGGCACCAAACTCATTATGCAAATTAAAACAATTGCTTTAATTCTTCTACAGGACATTTGTCCAATTAACCCGAGAGGATCAGGATGACAGACTTCCCTCCTCATAAGCTGTCCTGCTGTTGGCTGATGCTCAGAGTCTGCATCTTCACTGGTTGGCAATTCACTCCCAGTCAATGGTGCCCAAAGAATCACTGGAAAACTACCATTTAAAAAAAAGAGAAAAATGAAATGGTGACACAAATTCCAGTTGGTCAATGATCTTCCCTCTCAAAAACACACAGGAATTTAGTAATGGGGATAAAGATTATCAGGGAGCAAAAGTGTGAAGGAGAACACAAACATACAGAAAGAGGCAGAACATTAAAGTGCATGAAACGCTGACATAAGATGCTCGCTAAATCACTCCGCTAAATCGCTCTGTCTGCATCAGATTTACCTCCCCGGAGTCAGTACGTTACGTGTGAGTAAACCGTGATTCTGCTCGTCTGCCTGCTCATGAGCACGGATGGCTACTGACCTTGAACGTTAAGAGAAATAAAGAATAACATTTAAAAAAGACGCCGACTCCAAACGATCACTAATCTGAGCTGAATATTCTCTCACCGCTGGCCGCTGGAACAGGACCAGATGTGACAGGGGACTTAACAGTGTGAGGACTGAACGCGACAATAAAAGCGGACGACGTGGGTATTATAGAGGGGGAGGGGGACACTACAGACCTGCACCCCCAGTTACCTGCCCTCAAACCCAACACCAGTTCCGTTTCCCCAACACTGGCGATGAGAGGCTGATTTTCCCAGTTAATTCCATCCTCCCGTCCCACTGCCCCATCTGGACCTGCCCAGTGGGTTTGGTTACAGGATGTATGCTGATGTCACGCTATCACCACCAGTAACCCCGCAGCAAACTGGGAGCAGACTGGGAGCACAGCCTTCCCAAAGCCCATATATAACCACCACGTGTACGGCGGGAATTTGCATCACATATTCCGATATTCGTATAGGCCAAGTTAAAGGTAAAATTATTACTGGACTGTAAAATAGGATTGATGTTGACTTAGTCTAAGGGGAGACATCACTGGACATAATGGCCCAAGGGCTGTAGATGTAAAAGAGTGAGTTAATGTATCACCACGTGTGGATCATTCAGTCCTGAAACAGTTAAAAACTGAGAAAGGCAGAGAAAAGGTTAAAGGGCCATAATTTATGCCCCTGGCTGGATGCATGGATGGATGGATGGATGGACGGATGGATAAAGTGTGACCGTCATCACAAAGCAGGAGAGCGGTAAACTTACTATGGCTGATTAAACACAGAAAGGCTCTTTTAGACAAGCTGCATACTGTAATGCAGGATAGGTGCACAATTACCATGACATTACAGACAGACAGAGATAAAAAAATAATGGTGAATGGTAAATGATGAAAAGCATCTAAATTATAACAAGACACGGCTCAGATATAAATGCTTTACAGACAAATATGCTTCTTATCAAGGGCTTAAGACTGATACACCTTAAACAGGTCGACAAGTACGCCTACCCATCATAGTATGTCAAGCTATTTTTTTTTATTTTTTTTTTTTAAAGTATTGCGTTTTGATTATTCTGTCCAATCGGGCACTTGCAGAGAGCACTGACATAGTGTGTGAAAATGAAGCGGAATTGTTCACAATAAAGTCTGCGTGTTCTCTCTGTGCTTGCGTGGATTTCCGCCTGCACTCCAAAAACACTCACTTATGACGAATTGACATCTTTAAACGAGTACGTCTGCTCGTGCGTACCCTGTGAGGGCCTGGCATCCCCCCTCTTCTATGCTGTGCTTCCGGGGACAAGCTCGAAATTCACTGTCGCCCTCTAGTGGACAGGCAGTATGAAAAACAGAAGGGTACGTGGTTTCCTATTGTCGTTCGTGTATATTGTGGGTTAATTAAGCACAGTCATCTATACAGGCGCTGTAAGCGGCCATCATATCATAAATATATTAAGCGATTTTTTTTGCGTGTTAACGAGTAAGCAATAGCAGTCAGGGCAAAATAATCATCACACGCAGCAAACGCGCCAAAGCACACAACAAAAAACATTTTCCCTCTGCATTCTAACACATAAAACATAAATGATTCATTTCAAATCAGAGAAGGAAAATCCTAAAACTTAAGCTAGGCTATATTAAATACAAATGCAGTTTGGTGGAAGATTTTAAGATCAGACTTTCATAAACTCTTTTACAGACAGACATAATTATACCTCAGGAAAGGCAAATGAAAAGCATCTGGACACGTTTGATTTGTGGGAAAAAGTCCTATGTAATATGCAATAATTTTGCTGAAAATGTTTGATATCTAATTTTTTTAAAAATTTTAATCTAATGTGAATTTAGTATCAACCAGCATTTCAACAACTAACAAATACTTAATTGTAGGGGAGAGATACAGCTTCCATTAAAGAGGAGTTAAACCAACATTGCATCAAATATTGTTCCACTACTCCGTCATGCAGAGAGCCGTTTCATTCTAAGCATTTCCCCCACCCTAATAAATGACTTTGACAAACTGCATATGACATTTCCTTTTCCAGCCCTATAGCTGTGGACAGCGCAGATTTCGATTCTTGGTTTTCCGTCTTTTCCCAAAATGTGCTTCAAAAATATTAAAATGGGCAAAAATCTAAAGAAAAACAATTTAAAAAAAAAAAGCAATCATATTAAACGGGATTATTCCTCTTCCTCTCTGTTCCTGGCAGCAACATGTGCCCGTTTTTTTAGTGTTAAAACAGTTAACGCTGAAAGCTGGGCGTGTCTCCAGCCTCAAACAGAAAGAAACGCCGCACCGGGTACAATGATCTCAGATGTTATTGCGAATTTTTGCACGGTATAGTGGAAGCACATGTAGGTTCATTGTAACTTAATAACGAAGAATAACAATCACGACAATTATAACAAAGTCTTTAACTCCGACTGCTGCGATTTCTTTCTAACATTTTCCCTTTAAAGCGTTACGAGTCTCGCCTCCACGCAACTCCCCCCTTCTCAATCTGTTTACATGTCCGACCGGGATAAATGTTACTTTTAATACCAGCTTTTGTCCTTCCACGGCGATCGGTGCAAAAACAGACCCGGAGTGACTAACCACGGCCGCCCCGGACCCGCGCAGCCCCAGCCGATAAAGCATGAGTCACGGCGGCGGAGTTAAACCCATCACACCGCCGCCCTGTGATAAAAAGCTGCAGGCCAGCACACATGTCCGTGATTATTAAACCCAACACGTTAATAACATCTGCCTTAACTCCTCCTTGGGTTCACGGCAGCGCGATGCCGGAACTGGTTTTCCGAGCGGGGCGCGATCCCCCCCTGCCTGTCCCCCTTTCGGCTCCGGCCGCCGTCAGGACCGCGGGCTTCGCTCGCACGCTGGGGCGGCCGCCCGTGGCTGCTTCGCCCCTCCGCACCTACCTTCAGCCGTGGATCCTCCGGGGACACGCTGCCGAGGGCCGCCGCCTCCGTCTCTGCTCAGCCGGAGCGGGAGGCTCGCCGAGTCCGACTCGAAACTTGTGTCAATGCCATGATAAGGGGCGGAGGTTCGGGGTCGGCACGGGGACGGCGGGCTGACGTCAGCACGCAACCGCCGGCCGCATCGCCAAGTTTCCCTGCGAAGCAGAAAGTTAACGTGCAGGGACAGGCTGCTCTTAAAGCCCATCCTTTAATAAAAACTCCGTTATTTAACGCGCACGGGACGGCTGAAACAAAAACGCATGCTTTCGAATGCTTTTCGGCAGTACCGGTCCCGGCCGATGTGGCGCCCTAGGCGAGCATCACCGCCGGCGCCCTGCATCCGAGGCAAAGTGAAATTGGCTGGCGAGTCGGCGCCCGCTAAGAATTCGGCGCCCTAGGCGTCCGCCAATGTCACCAGTAGGATTGACCGACCCTGGCTATAGGTGACATGTAACCAAAGGACTGGACTTCGGATCCCTATAATGGGGAATGGCTGTTCCAAGCATGAGAGTCATCAGATGGAAATTGGTTTAAAAAAATGCAAACTGCCTGTACGGGTGAGTCACTGTGGTGCTGCTTTCGTTCCTCTGAGACATTATTGTCACCTTGCAGTCCACGCTGAGTACAGTGGAGCCTCGAGTTACGAACTCAATTCGTTCACAAGGGCTGGTCGTAACTCAAGACTATTTTCCCCATAAGAAATTATGGAAATACCCATAGTGCGAACCTGCCAAAGCACCCCTTACCTAACCTTTTCGTGATAAAAAGGGTTGTATAATGTGCGTAGTTTACCAGAAACACCATTTTCCTAGCGTATTCACCAAAACGTTATAAAAATGTGCCTTAGCCTACCAGAAACACCCATTTCATACTACACTCACCGTTTCTGTGTCATCGTTTCGAAGTGGTGTGTGTCATTTTCAGAAGCCCTTTTATCCACACCGGCTGCTTTACCATCTCGGCTCTTTGTTTACAGCCACAACAGGTGGATACACGGCATTCGGGTCATAACTCAAGACTTTGGTCAAAACTCAGATTTTGGTCGCAACCCAAGTATATCGTGTCAGGCCGGTCGTAACTCGAGGGTCCAATGTATTATCCTTTACAGATCCGAATAATATTATTACAATTTAAGACAATTAGGGCTAATATAATGTAATACCAATAGTACTGTAAATAGCCACAGCCAATAGCGTCACAGCTAATGAACTGGAGTGTGATGTAAAGCTCCATTAAAACTACCATTAAACATCAGGGCCAGATTCCTCCGTAAGCTGTACTTCATCACAAAAAGGTGTGAAAGCACAGCAAAGTGGCCCCAGTGGCCTAAGGGAGAAGGTATTGGCCTCCTAAGCCGGGGATTGTGGGTTCGAGTCCCATCTGGGGTGTCATTGTTTTAAATGAATTCCCCTTGGAATCAATAAAGGATTTGACATAATTATCTAAGTGCATGAATATGCTTAAGTATCCAGAGACTTGAAATGTTAATGAGTAGTTGGTAAAAACGGAAGGAAAATCCCTCCCCAGGAGCGAGACTGCTGACTTCTTGGGGGAACATTACAGAATAACATGGTCCATCATACAGAGATTTCTGTGATTTATTTGTTGACCTGACAGCAAATTCCAGACAGCAATGTTTCCTTACAGTTGAACAGCACAAATATAAAAATGCCTTTTCATCCTTTGATTATAGCCTGATAGCATGTTAGAATAAGTTTAAAAATGAAAACCAAACTTCTGTAACAGTGCACGCTGTATCTTTGTTAATACAGAAAACCTGATACATCAGAATTCATAAAAAAAAAAAAAGAAATTTAACACGTTATGTTTGGCTGTGTCACAGCTAATAATAAATATTTACATACATATATAAAAAATGAATTTACTAGAAGTTTGATGCAAGGTACACATATTCATACACACAATATGGAACAATGTACAGCCATGACAAAGGACTGATTACACTGATGACAGAAATCAGATCTCTGGTTATTGAAATAACAGGACTACACAGCAAGGGATATTCTTCTTAAATCACAGAGCTACTTTGGTATTGTCTCTTGAGCACAACTACGAGTGCGGGAGAACAGCCAAACATTAGGCAGATTTTGATATGTATTTTCATCATCAAACAAATTAGTAATTAACAGAAAACTCCATTAAGGGACAAAAAAAAAAAAAACAGGACAACTGAGAAAAGTAGCCCATATATGCATCTCTAATTTTTAACCTTTATTTCATCCATCACCCATCTATCCATCCATTTTCTATACCTCCTTGTCCTACGCTGGATCACGGGGGTCCCGAGCCTATCCCAGAAGCTATGGCCGCAAGGCGGGGAATAACCAAGGATGGGGTGCCGGTCCATTTTTTCTATTATAGTGCCATAAATTCTGGTTGAGGGAATACAGCTTTATTTACATTTTGGGTGTATTTCAGGGTTCGATCCAGCTGGGGGCGCAAGAGAGACAGGATGTCTGGGACGACTGGGATCAGCCTTTATTTCGTGAGCACGAATCAGACATGTCAGGCGCTATGGCGACGCGACGCTACGCTAACCGGCGGCGGAGGGGCGCGGAATGCTCAGAAGCCGGAGGGCGTGAGCACGTTCAAGTCGCGCGGCTTGAGGTTATGCGAGCGGGGGGGCTGCCTCCTGGCCTCCGTGCCGGGGATGTCCAGCTTGGGGGGCTGCAGGTTGGCGGGGTCCTCGACCAGGCGGGTGGCCTGGGCCTTCATCACCTCCATGGCTGTGGGCTTCTGGGCTCCTCGGTAAGCCTGGAGCGCAAAGCCACCTGCGGATGATGGAGGGACGGAGGGAGGGAGAACGGCCGTCAGGGGGCAGGGATCAAAATGCTGTTTTCAGTGGGTATTACCCAGAACCCGAGTATTTGTTTTACAAAACTATTTCACTGCAGGAGGTTCAGCTATATGCAGCCTGGGGCTGTGTGTGGCTCAGCGAGTTAAAAGTCCGTGCCCATGAGCTGAAGGTTGTGGGTTCGAGTCCCGTGGACTCCATTAGACTTTTAAGCAAAGCCCAAATTGCTCCGATCCTGCAATGTAACCCCCAAACATGCTCTTACCTGTGTATGCGGTTGGCTCATAGTGAGCAAGATGGGACAAGCGAAAAGAATTTCCCCACCGGGATGAAAAAAGTATCACTATTTGACTTCTTACGTCTAAATATGGACCATTTGTGAGTGAGTTCTTACCTGGGTCAGTGGTGGACTTGTGGACCGCAGGCCGCGGCCCGAAGACACTCCATCGGTCGACGGCTCCTCCCTCGCTGCCGCTGCCACCTACGGTGGTGGAATTAGTGCTGACAAATTCTGGCGGAATGGAACCCTGGCTGAACCAGCCCCTGCAATTCATAGCAAGACCAGAAGGGGGCGTGACTGTTAATGGTGAGGACTAATAACGCCCCGTCGTTTCATTAAGGCAGTTCTTTGGTAAAACGCAGAATCGGATTGGCTGTCAATGGGGGGGGGGCATTCGCACCTGCGCTTTGGCTTGGGGGACGACTGTGGGCTGGTGTTCGGCGTGGACTGCGCAGAGCTCGTCTGCCTCTCCTCCTTGGACTCCTGAATCTTCAGCTTCTGCAAGAGAGGTCAGCGTGACGCTGATTCCCTGGGGACGGCTGAACACGAGGACCGGTTGAGGAACCACGGAGAGCGGAATCTGTAACTGACCTTCTGTGCTCCCGGTACAGAAGACAGATCAATTTTAAAGTTTCACTGCCTGTACAGAGTCTTCCAATAGTTATTATTAGAACATAATTATACATGTAAATTATATATAATAAACATCATGTAAATCAAAATTATCTACATACATACTTCCACATACCAACTATTCTGCAAAGTCAACTCTTTCATTCACAACGAATAAATTCGATGCCAATGTGAATACATCTGTCTTCCGTTTCATAATGAACATTATTTGTATTCCTCTGCCTCCACTAAAACCAAGAAAACGCTGACCGAAAAGGATAACTGATTTAAGCAAAAACCAGAATAATGTGGAGTAAAATTAGCCACGGGCCGCATTAAGCTTTTACTTGGAACAAAACGTCCAGCAAATCCCCCTGCGAAAACGATGGTCCTAAAAATACAATACAGCGTTCACAGAAAGACTCGGGACGCTGGCTTAATTCTGTAAATATGTCACACATTTACTGGTTTCATAACAAAAGTCCATCGACAAGCGACGTTTAACACATTGGCACACAAGTTCTACACAAACTTTTTCGTTTTAATGAGCGTCTTAATTTTTTTGACTGACCCATTCAGGTCCATTCTTGCCACTCTGCTATTAATTGCAGTTGTAGTCTCTATCTCCCGAAGGGGCACTAAACACAAATGTTTGGTGTTTTATGTTATTGCAAAGGTGTTACTAATTTAAAAGCCCCCAATGAGATTCAATGGACTTTATAACTCAGAACAGCTCTTCCAATTTGAGATGAACGTTTTACGAAAAATCACTGGTTGTTTCTAATGTGATTAGTCATTTGTTGAGAAAAAAAAATAAATTTGCAATATTTTTACAGAATTAAGCAGGCAGCCCAACACTTTCTCTGAGCACTGAATATATCGATTGGGGGGTTTCAGCAATACTAAATAATTTGGTTTCAGTGCTGTGAGTGGCTGTTTAAAAAACAGCACAAACCCCCCCCCCCCCCCCCCGATCTCACCACTGACAGTGAGCATCAGACATGGAGGGGGGGGGAATGAAGGGCCTTCCTTCTTGCTGCTGGGACGCTGGCAGGCCGGGGTAGGCGTGTCCCGTCACTCTCGCCGGGCACTTAAGCGCGCGGCAGAGCTGCCCCAGTTTAGCCTGCGCGCTCCACACCCAGCTGCTCCCTCCACACCCAGGCTGACATCAGTCGAAAGAGACAGAAAAACTGACGACTGAAGCCACCGTGGAACAGGACCGGGGAGCCGCACTCACATGTAGACTCTCCGCCATGCGGAGGTATCGGGCCTCCTCGGCCGCCAGCCCCTTGTGGGGTGTGTACCCGGCGTCCGTGAGGCCGGCCTGCATCTCGAACCTCTGCATGCTCTCCTGGGTTTGCTCTAGAAAAGGAGGGGGGGGGGGGGTTAAACCGGACAGCGGAATGCTGTAGCTGAGCACATTACATGCTGCCGCTCTGAATGAGTGAATGAAACCCGATCTCCAAGTGGGCACAACTGTAGCCCAACACCGGCAGGTTGTGAGTTCGATTCCCAGGATCTTTTTGCGTTTATTTCTTAACCTTAATTCGATGTCAGTTTCTTTTAGGTTTCATTCAATTACAAGTGTAAGCGTGTAGCATGTAATGTACTGGCTTCATCTCCTGTGCTTTATGAGATAAGCTACAGGCTCATATATGCCACACCGAATAAGCAGTTACGCAAAACGTGACTACACGGCTTCCGACGGCTGCGAAAATAAACACCACAACCGCCGGCCCTACATGCACCATGAACTGAACTTCACTACTCACTGGTCATGAGGGAGTTCATGATGATGGAGGACGCTTTGGCCTTGACCACCGGAGGCTGGGAGGCGACGCCAGAGGCGACAGAGTCCGAGCAGGAGCCCTGAGTGAGGGACCCTCCAGGTTCGTCTTCCTGAGGTTACACACATCGAGGGATAAGGTTTGATCTGCCCTTAACCTACACAGCACTTACACCATCCTCTTGGAATGGCGTGTGGAGTATTAGAGATACGAGCACAGAATGGTATGTATAGTATGAGAGATATGAGCAGGGACACAACGCCCTCGACCGATTGCTGGATCTTAAGAGGAAACAGGACAATTGCAAGGGCCCCTGAGTTACAGGAGGCGTAAAAAATTCTGAGCATAAATGGATACCTGGGTACCACTGGGAGGATGTACAACTTATCATACAGATCATAACAATAACAACAACAACAAAACAAAAACAACAAAAACAAACATCAGGATCCATTCGTCTCTCCCTCTCTTAATCACTTATCCCAAACAGGACTGATATTATAATTATCATCAGAATTATAATTAGCATCTTTATCAGTAATATAAGGGTCGCTCCCCCCAGCCCAGCTCAGAGAGCGACGAGGAGAGCCGCAGCACCTCTGCCAAACGCTGGAACTTCCTCTCTGGAATGACGGGCCGCTTCCACAGGATGTTGACGTTGATGTCAGGCGGTGGGGGCGACATGGGGGCTTCCAAGGCGTCGTCGTAGCTCAGGCCCCGGCGGGTCATTCCCAGCGGCAGCGACATGCCCCCCAGCAAGCCCTCTGGTGCGTCCGACTCGAGCGCTGGCAGAAAAACAAAAGAGACGACACGTGCGGGCGTCTATAAACAGCAAGGGTGGAGCCCGGTCCGGATTAAGGAGCACGTCACAAACCGGTTCCTCGATTAACCGTGAAACCTCTGACTAACCATACAGGCCTCCGTGTTACGACACCAAAGAGTGAATCTTACACACCTCCAGCCCAATTAGAACTACAACACAACAGCAACACTATTGAGATATAATATGTACTGAAAATGTTATGCACAGACTCATTTTTCCCTTCTATTCGCTCTGTTAAAGCACAAAATCAGTTACGCAGAAAACAACACACATCTGCGAATCGGTTGACACTCGAGGAAACGGGCCACAAAAGAACCGTGCAGCCGTGAGTAATGCCTGACGCTGGGCGTAACTTTCCACAGTGGCAGAACCTCTGCTATACACACGTGTAGATGCGGAACTTTCTAGAGTCTTTGATGAGCATGCCAAATACGAATATGCAATCCAATACGTGTATGAATGGACCTACACCCTCAGCAAAAGACGAGCAGGTGTGACACAGACTGCCCCGGCCCGTTGGCTTACCTTGCATCTCACCCGATCTGGAGACCATTGTCACGAGAAGCAGCCCAAATTATCGCAGGCTGTGAGCAGCACGATAAGTCGACCCGGTCGGCTGACAGATCGGAACTCCGCCTGCGGACATGTTGGACACAAAGGAGAGCGAGGTCACAGGCGTCGTCTGTAAGAACACCAAGGAAATAACGCTGTGATGGACCTGATAGCCTCACAGTCCTGATAACCTCACAGTTACATTTCAGGTGCTTCACTTCCTTCAGGTAGCAGCTCTGATCTTACAAAGCAGAATAAACTCTCAGTCAGTATTCCAGTGGTTCTCAAACTACGGTACAAGCAGCACCTCTCGAGTGGTACCACCGGCGGTACACAGGGACGCCCCCTAGTGGTATGCGAAGGTATCAGTGTATTATTTCACACAGCGGGGGTGTGACAGCTTAAGTTTTACCATTGCCATCCTCGTTCAACAAGTTCTATAATACTCTATTAATAATCTATTCTATAATACTTTCATGATGTAATATTATGTGTGTGTGTGTGTGTGTGTGTTCAGTTTGCATTCCCTGTAATGTACTGACATCTCATCCAGGCTGCACCCCTGCCTTCTGCCCCCTGGGATAGATTCCAGGCCCCCCCTACGACTCTGCATTGGACAAGTGGTTGAAAGAGCGATGGATGGATGGATGGATTTTACTGCCACGTTCGTGGTGACATGCACACTGTCCCTTGTTGCCACTCCGCGTCAAAACTGGATTGTATGTCAGAGCAGCGACGCAGGAATCTGACCTCGCTGGAGAAGCAGGCAGAGGTTATAACTGCAGGCTGTATTCAGAGTGTCGATTCATCCACCGCAGGGCCTGCTGACAGCGGCAGAACATGGTGCGAGAACCGGAGGTGGACAGGTGCGAGACCTGGAAGGAATAAACCAAGTTAACCATCGATGGGGGTGACGGACACATGGACAGGGACGGAGACACACACGCAAAACCAGACAAACCAGACAAATCCGGTCGTACCCTGTTCACAATGAACTGGCTAATTGAGCCCAGGAACCAAACGTGCTATAAATACATATAATATAGGTCTCTATTCTTTTGTGAGAAAGGCAGGAGAAAAGAAGAATCTGATCTGTCAAATAACTGGGTTTTATTTAGGATTAATCGTAGATATAGAAAGACTGAAGTGACGGATTTCAGTTCAAGGGGAAGCTGATACTGACAGTTAGTTGGATGTCAGTGACCTAAATTTCAGGATGAATACATATGAGAAGCAGTATAAATAAATGTAATACCGGTTTCATTTGACGGCATTCAGTGCTGCTCTCACCTCGTCCGACCCGAACCCGTTTACATCCCCTGGGAATATGACACTCAGCTCGAATGTGACCTTTGGAAGTCCCGCAGAAAACAAAGGCCTAGTTTGTATCTCTGATATATTAGCTTTGACTTAACAGAGAGCTAGTCAAAAATGGAGGATTTTAACCAAATACGGTCACGCGCCGGCGTCTGTTTATATCTTAATTGTAAAAGTTTAAGTTAGCATTTGCATGTATGGTTTCGTGATTCGGTAAACACCATTTATTTGTTTGTTTGTTTTCATGGCAACCAATTGAAGCTTAAAACAAAGATATCTATTTTGTATCCAGATGACCCATTTCATTACTGAAAGCGAAACATTTTAAAACATGACCTTAAACGATTATAACGGGGGATTTCAAAATATTCACGCGTTTTTCCTGCACTTGCATTCATTATTATTATCATTATAATAATTATTATTATCATTATTAGCCATGCTAGCTGACTGCACAGCCCGCTTCCCCTCGCTGTCAGGTGCTGGCCAGGGCTAGCGGCTCCCGGTGCAGCATTTCACGGAGGCCGGTGGATCGAACAGAAACGTTACCTCGGCAAACATCAGGTGGCCGGATAGATAGATCCCTGCCAATCTCGGCCCGATGATAATAAATGCAAACCGCTAACGGCGGCCCCACCGCCTGCTTTGCTTACGCAACACAATACGTTAAAATGGCACTGAGCGATTACATTTAATTACAACGATGCTGAAGCGATGGACTCACTCAGCTAAACGTGGCACGAACGCCGTCCCTTCCGCATTGGCTGGCTAACAGCGCGGCATCGCCAGCCGGGCAAGCAGTAACGGTATACCAGCAGTATAATTCCGGATGCTTTCGGAAGAGCCACACCGATCATCAGCCATGACTTCCAGTTTCGACACGGGCGGGGTAACGTGACGCGCGGTGTGGCCGCCGCCCGAACTATCGCGAGATTTACCGCGAGATTCACGCTTTACCTTAAACGCCCGCGTGTTACCGGAAGGGGCCCCTAGTGCCGTCGGTGACTTTAGTTTTTCATGCTCTGCGCTGCAGATGTTGCTTGTGATACAGCTATTCGTACTGCTGTAATTTTATTCCCGAGTAGTATGTAGCTTATTATTATTTTTTATTAAAGGTCAACATTAATTATCAGATTGCTGAGTGCAACGTTCTGCAGCGACTTCGTATTAATAATATCGAGGTATCGATTGTTTATAGTTAATAATATAACTGTTGTTTTTCGTTTAAAAAATGGAATTTAAATTTGATATTTGTAAAGTTCACATTTTATTTATAATATTCTGTACACAAAGATTCAGAGTGGTCGCAGAATTTGTACCTGATTATGTAATCTATCTAGGCAATAATTACTATTAAAATCATGTAGGTTATAGTTATAATTGGAAGTGTAATTTTCCCTTCCACCCCGCTTGAGCCTGGGTGAACCTGGAGCCTATAAGGAGAAGCACAGGGCATCCTAAATGCATTCGCAGTCCACCAGAGGGCTCACACTCATTCAAAGACACCAACCGATTTGAACTGAAATCAGCCATACCTTACCTTATCAATCGATCCCCATGTCATATACACACACAAACCAAATCCTGCCCATTAAACCATATTCGTGGCTGTGCGTTCATTTTCCGGGTGTTCCTCAATCCATCTTCTAACCCTTCATTCTGGACAGGGTAATGGATATTATTTCTTTAAACGTTTATCCAGAGATAGGTATCGGTGGGTTGGAGCCTATCGCAGGACAGGGGACACCATGGGTCATCAATAATCAATAACACAGTATTACCTGTAAATTATTAAGAACACTCTCTGTGGAGCACACAATACGAGGACCTGGAGCAGATAACATAGTTCTCTGGATCACAAGACAAGGAACACCTCCCAGAAATCAAACCCATGCTTGCGTGAGCTGCATCTATGTCAAAAACGTGCTGAAGTATGTTACAAATTTAAATATGTGTGTGATATATCATAGTTCTATGTTTCCTGTGTCCGTATTGCTCCGTGCCCCCTAGTGGACATTGAGGACATGACACTAGTCTGCAATGACCTCTGTTCAGTGAGTCTGTAACTCATTATTTTATCCCATTTAATAGTCTAGTTTCAGTCTTGCCCTTATCATCTGCATGGGATGACAGTGTCTGCTTTTAAAGAGGAAAAAGGCACTCAAAATATAAAAACTCGGTTTATTCATTTAAAATGCGCTGACCAGCAAATTAAATATAAAGGGCGAGTCACAGCGACAGCTGACTTCTGTTAAAGTTAACACGTTAGTTTATATAACAAATATTTAGTACTTATCAGCATGTAAAAAGTTATATACCATATGTCACCGTGTTTGACTTTAAATGTAATCTGCGTGAAGTGCGTCGTAATAGTCTTCATCATACAACATACCAATAATTTCAATAACTTCCAACCAACTATCAATTCGAGAATGTAACAGAACCGCTTCCCCCCCCACCGCCCACTGTTGACATGATCACACGGGGATCAGTCTCCCGTTTTACTGTAAATAAATTGCTGTCCAGTTATTTTTCCATGCAATTCGCATGTCGTCTCACTGGAGCTCCAGCCGCCCTCTGATCGCCCCCATGTGGAGCGAAACAGTACTGCAGACCTCTTAGTCGTCGGGTCCCTGTCAGTATCAGATCTTTCTGTTTTACCTTTGTACGTATTTGTTGCCATTCCCATCATTCTCCGGCAGATGTGATGACCAGGTTCATTAAAACTGCAAGTGATGTGACCTCAGTAGCCTTTGTCTACGAGCTCCTGATGGAGAAGCTCATTAATCATCTCACGCACGGCAAGTGTGATGACATCTCCACTTTCTGTCGCTGCTGGCTGCTGCTTAATTAGCTGCTGTGAAATTAACAGCTCAGTGTAATTAAATATCTTTAATCCATCTTTAATAGTCACTTCAGTCGGGGCCCCAGTGATTTAGGGTTAGTCACAGAAGGCATGGGGTTCACCGGTACAGGCGAGTGGGACGCGACCCCAACTGATGGCGTTGACTAAGTGAATATACGCTACTTAGCAGAAAACATGAAAGCTGTCTGAGTGTTCTGCAGTGTGTACTTGTCACCAGTTTCACTGGGTTTTCAGCTGTGATTAAGGAGGCAGTGCGTGACTCAGCAGGTTAGGCTGCTGTGCCTGTGATCCAGTGGGTGGCAATTCAAACGCCCCAGTCCGCAGAATGATGTCACTGCTGGGCCCTTCACTGTGGCCCTTAAAGGACAGTTCACCCCAAAACTGAAAAGGAGATGTTTTAGAGGGGCTTTACTGCTGTCTATCCATTAAGGTTGTTGTGCTGCAAATTCCACACTCCAGTTATATCACTGCACAGACGATATCGGTGGGGAGTTCAAAGCAGAACCGCCTAGATTGACAGATAGCATTAAAGCCCCTCGAAAACACATCTTTTTGCAGTTTTGGGGTGAATTGCTCCTTTAACCCCCAGTCTGATCCTCCTCTCCCAATTGTAGGTTTCTGTGGCTAAAAGTTCTCACTAAATAAATGTATTTATGGGTGAATACTGAGAGAAAATGGCATGGCTGCCTTCTTTTCCTCATATTTCTGCAATGGCAGGCAGCATCCTGGCCTGGAGCCTCGCTTCCTTCCATGCAGTGCGGCAGTCGGCAATCCTTGCAGTGCGGCAGTCGGTGATCCATGCAGTGCGGCAGTCGGCGATCCAGTGGAAGATGATTGAGTCGTCGTCCACGCGGGCGACGGCTCTGTCCCTCTGGAGGGCCATGGGGCTTCCTGTGTCATTCAGGGCCCCCTGGGGGAGCCGCCTACTTCTCTGGGACTTCAGCTCCTTTCGTGGAAATGCGAGGGCTTTGGCGACGGCGGCCCGTCCAGGACGGAGAGCCGGATGGCTGTTTCTGAGGCAGGTATCGCTCAGGGGGGGTGGAGGGGGCAGAGAGCCAGGTTTACGAATGCCCCCTTCATTCAGGTATTCCCTCCCGTTGCTTAGACACCCACCCATCTCCATGGTGACTGTGAAGCGGCCTTCACTGCAGCTGGATCGGTGTCTGGGGGGGTCGACAGTGTCCTGCCCTTGTTTTCCTAAATCCTTGGTATTAGGTGAGCAGAAGACAGGGCGTGCCAGCTGACTGATGGACCACAGGTAGTCGTCGGGGGAGTCGGCCCGCGAGGGGGCGGAGCTTAGGCCGCTGAGAGAGTCCTGCTGGTTCGTGTCCGGTGCGTGATCCTCGTGCCCCTCCTTTATAGTGGGCAGGCCCCACACAGATAGGTGTGCCGATCGGGGACGCATGTCTGTTGGTGGAAATCAGAGAAACGTATTACTTGTAATATGCGTGCATACCAAAATACGGGGGTGACCTTTTCGCTGTGTTTTCTCTGAAGCACACCTGCAGACCAGGAATTCGTCCAAAAAGCTTTGCGTGAAATCCATCTGCTGGGCAGCTTCTCGCACCAGATGCGGCCCCTTCTCCGCTAAGTGTCGAGACGAGACGTAAATGCCGCCCCGAGGAGAGTGGACACGCTGGAAGCCCAGAAGCCCGGTTCTGTCTGCACTACCTGTAACTGTCTGCTTTGATGTTAGCCATGCTGGTTTTTGGTTTGCTGCATGCCACCTGCTGCTGGCATTTCCACCTAATCCCTGTCAGGGTGGACACTCTGAGCTCGGGCAGGATTTGTGAAGTACCATTTCAATTAAAAAGACCTGGATTTCATTTAAGTGTCGAGTTCTTGCTGTGTGCTGATTGGTCAGTCTCCAATAATCATGCATGTGTCACTGATGTTAATGTGAAACAGCTGGATGCGTCTTTCAATCAAGGAAAGTAACCAATCAAAGTACGAGAAGAACTGAACGGGAGCCTTTTAGTTTCAGGGTAGTTTGTAGAAGCTGAAGTAGCTGAAAGTGTCCTCCCTGACGTGGATGAGGTCGTTCCCCTACCTGCCGCCATCTTAGCCATGTCGCTGTCTGCCGTCCGCCATGCGTCGTACGGGACGGTCGCTCACCTTTCTCAGCAAAAACCTGTCCTGTGCTGCTCTTAGGAGGCCTTTCCTGTCCTGATGATGCCCTACGTCAGGGTCCCCTGACCGCCAGCCCGTCGGAAACATGGAGCTGAGGTAGGGTCACAGTCAGGCGAAATCAGGGGAAAACAGTACCCCCCCCCTCCCACACACACACACACACACACACGCTCACACTAATTTGCATAAGAAAGAACTTAAATGGGCAGTGGCCTGTGGTTTTTTGCTGTTGATGGAATTTGGCCCCTATATAACAGCCCTGTTGGAGAAAGACCACAAGAGGAGAGTGTGTGACAGGTGGAGAGAGACGTGTGAGAGTGTGTGTGTGTGTGTGTGTGTGTGAGCGGGTTTACCTATCCTTATGGGGACATAATGTCCCCATAACGTGATAAATATCTGTTTTTTTTCCCCTTATGGGGACCGGTTTCCTGGTCCCCATAAGGGAAAACTCTATTTCATAAAAATCGGTGACTGCTATGAAAAAACTAAAAATGCAAAAACTGTTTTATTTTGTCAGGTTAATTATGGTTATGGTTAGGGCTGGGTAGGGGTTAAGGTTGTCATAGTTAGCGTTAGCATTTTTCCCATTGAAATGAATGAGCGGTCCCCATAAGGATATGTATACCCTACGTGTGTGTGTGTGTGTGTGTAATCAGTATTAAATGCCTGTAATTTTTACTCTCTTAGCAGACACTTTTATCCAATGCCACACGCTCAGTGAGTCCCTGGAGCTTCAGAGCCTCGTTCGAGAGCTCAATAGTAAAAGCACTCTTCTGACCAAAGGATGAGAACCAAAGACCTTCTGATCCCAGGCTCAGCAGCCTACCCCCCTAAGCCAGACACCCCCCACCCCCTGGCCAGCACATGGTGAGGGTACAGTGGGCATCTGTGCTCTTCTCGCTCTCATGGCTCTTTCAGTTTGTCACAGACACCAAAAAGGACCAAATGACATTAGAGACAGGAACGTGCCCCAGGCGGGCCAGGGATACCGTCTCTCGGACACCATCACCCAAACGCCGGCTGCACCGGTTAGATAATCGCATCCCAGTTAATGCGATTCCTGGACCCCCCCCGTTCCTGGAAAGTCCTCATTTTCGCTAAGGGTGCGATATAGAACTCAAGACGGATGCCACGTCCTTTCTGCTCAACTTTTCAATTTATTGCGCCACCGGACGCCAGTAAGGACGCTGACGGTGCATCTGTGTCTCAGAGTCCGCGTTCCCCGGACCGGCCCGCCTGCCAAGTGTTTATTTAATAAAATAAAATGGAAATAAGGGCAGCGGCTCCTACCGGCAGGCAGGCACGGTCGTCCTCTCAGGGGTCCTCGAGATGCAGAGAGCAGAGCTGAGCGCGGCTCCTTGTCTGGGGCTGTCGGAGAGCTGGCCGGGGGCAGCCAGGCGCGGACTGTCAGCTCAGGCTGTGACTTCACAGAGTCTGTGCGAGAGGGGCAGCGCTGCCACTTATACTCTCCAGCGGGGAACAGGAGCATCCGCCAGGGAGGGGGGGGGGGGGGGGTGGGGGGGAAAAGGGGGGGGGGTAGATGGGGGGGGGGGGGGGGGGGGG